CCCAAATCTCATTGGCTTAAAATAACCGAGGTTTACTTATTGTTTCTACCCCATGTTTTTCTTGGGCTGACTGTGACTCTGTTCCATGCTAGCTTCCCACTGGGATCAGGCTAAAGGAACAGCCTTTCCTAGAGCATGGTGGCTCTCATGGCACATGGAAGAGACACATGGTGAACCATGGCCTGGCTCTCAGAGCATCTGCCCTGATATGTACATGTCACTTGCACTCACATTTCATTGGTCAGAGCAGGTCACATGGCCAAGTGATATCAGTGGGTCAGAGAAGCATGTTGAGAGCAGGATGCACCCTCCCACCATGCAGTCGTAGTAGGGCATGTGTCAAGAGAGCCTCCCCGCGTCCTCTGAGACTCTCTGTCACTGGACTGCTCTACCCCCAAAAATAAAAGACTCTCTACTGCGTCCCTAAAGGTAGGGCCCATTTCTGTCTACGTTATTGCTGCATTCTCACTGCAGTACCCGGCATGACTTAGACGTTACACAAACAGTTATTGAAATAACGTGGAGATGATAGTGCCATTTGTGAGAGCGAGGCCTCTGTCCTTGATCACAATGGTTCTCCCCGCCTGAGACCTTCCCGCTTATCCTCATCCTTTCCCGTGCTGTGGTGGACCATGAGGAGGCATATCCATCACCACTGCCGCAGTCCCAGCTGGAGGTGCTAAGGATTCTCTGCCCTCACCAAGACCTGCCAGAGCAGAATGCAAACCTTTCAGTTAAGTCCAGACAGTGACAACTGCCCCCAGGCTCATTTGTGTTCTCACATCCCAGTGTACCCTGGAATCTGCCTCATTCACCCCCAGCTCTATCTACTTGCTGGCTCAGAGAAGCTGCCCCATCCTGAGAGGGTTCGGGGACCTGGAATCAGACCTCATCTCTGATTCCCAGCCCTCGCCAGCCTCACCACCACTGCAGCCGCTGTACCAAAGACCAGTGTGGCCTCTCGGGTGAGCCCCAGGGACTTTGGAAGAGTCCCAAGGAGCATCTGAAATACACCCAAATGTGCAGACGATGCCATACCATCTTTGCAAGTGATGCATCTGTTTGCCCACTGCTCTCCACAGAATCCCTCGGGGAGATGAGAGAGAGAAAAAAAAAAACAACTTTGGGAGAAGGCAAATCTCTATTTGTTTAATTGCATGGAGAAAAGAAATACAAGATGTTGAGTTTGCAGGAATCTGCACCATCTGCTTAAATGCAGCCTGATGCCTCCTTCCCTGTAGGCAACATCTGTGGATGAGGCAGGGTGGTCTGCTGCTCCCCACCCAGGGAAGACAGGGAGCTCTGCATGGATGGCCTTGCAGGTCACACGCTGTCTTCAACGTGCCCTTCTGTAGACAGTGGCCTGTATAGGGAGCCGGGTCCCAGGTGACTAGGCCGTGCTTGGCAGGACACTCTGCAGTGTGGTAGAAAGAACATTAGCTAGGTGTCTGAGGGCTGGGCCTGCTTCTAGCCTGCTGTGTGGCTGTATGAGCTTGGTCGTTTTCTCTCCCTGGGCCTCAGTTTCCATGTTTGTAGAATGGGCAGGAGGTTCTAAGGTTCCCGTCCAGGTTCAGTGACATGATGTGTGGAGAGGTCTAAGAGGAGAGGAAAGAACTGGAAAGTCCTGATAATGGGCCCACTCCCTAGCTGGTTGTGATCCTGGGCTTGCTGAGCTTCAGGGTTCTTATCTGCAAACTGGAATCAATGGTATTAACTGCATAGCTGAGTAACTAAGAAAAAGCACTGAAGTACTTAATTCTGGTCTGGCCCTCGGTGCCCCCAAAAAGTTCCCTAGGAAAATAATAATAAAGACCTGTAACCATGAAAAATGAAGTTCTATATGCATAGGATATATGTATAGAATAATCCTGACCAGAACTGGCCTTTGGCAAATGCAACCAATTTTGCCTCCCAATCTCTTTATATCTTACCCTCATCACCTCACACCTGTATCTACATGGCATATCTCTTCTTCTATACAAACCTGTTTTGGGGGAAATTACAGGCAGCCCCTTCACTAGTCTAAGGTGCTAATTGCAGTGTGAATTCTATAGGAACATTTGCTTAACAGCAAGGTCCTTGGACAAAAAGAAGCCTCAAGTTATACGGTTCTGATCCCTGGCAGCCCCCACCCTGACTCCACACACCTCTGCACTGGGCCCTGATGCATGGCGTTGGCTGCATTGGCTGGAGCCAGAAGTCAGGGGCCCTGAGTCCTCAGCCTGTGTCTCCCTGGCTGCCTGAAGTTTCAGGAACCGACACGCACTCTGTGTGTGCCCCAGTCGGCAGGCTGTCTTCATGCTGAACAAATCCTGGTGTCAGAGCCAACTTAATTATGGATCAAAGAAACTGTTGCCATGTTGCACTAGTCTAGGGGTTCTAAGAACTTGTTCCAAAGACCACGTATCTCCCAAACCACTCCAAGTCTTAGCCTTTTACCATCTTGGTAGCTTTCTTTCATTCAAATAGCTCTGGAGGGTGATAACCCTGAAGGATTTGTTAGTCATTAAAACATTAGTCTTGCCCTAGCCGTTTGGCTCAGTGGATAGAGCATCAGCCTGCAGACTGAAGGATCCCAGGTTCAATTCTGGTCAAGGGCACATGCTCGGGTTGCAGGCTCGATCTCCAGTAGGGGCTTGCAGGAGACAGCCAATCAGTGATTCTCTCTCACCATTAATGTTTCTATCTCTCCCTTCATCTCCCTTCCTCTCTGAAATCAGTGTGTGTGTGTTAAAAAAAAAACCACATTAGTCTGAATTAACAGGTAAAATAGATACCAAAGGAGGCTCTAGTGCAATGGGATGAGAACAAATATTGGTGAGCGATGTGGGGCATGGACAAGAGGCTGGATGGGCAGGCTCACAGGAGCATTGGGTAAACGGCCAGAACATCTCTTGGAGGCACTAGATGGGAGGAAAGGCAGTTAGTTATACACATTAATGCAGTGTCTACTGTGTGTCAGACATGGTACCAACCAAGCACTCTCGGAAATATGCATGTAAATACTGCAGTCAATACTGCCCACGTCTGCTCTTGATGCACATAAGCCACAAGGTGATCATCAATTGGGAGACCGAACTCCTCCACTCGCTCAGACTCTGCGGCTCTCAGAGGCCTCTCCGAGGTGAGCCTCTCACAGTGCTGAAGAGAGCATACTTTTCACACAGCATAACTTTCGATTGCAAGCCAGTGGGTGCTCAATCTCAGGCTCAATGGTCTCTTCCAAGGCTGGAGGCAAAACTGGCTGGGCTGAACATTTGCAAAGAAGTATATTGGTTCCCATACGGCACTTTCCTGAGGGACTTTCAAGGGTCATTTTAACTATAGGAGGTGTTGTGGTTGTTAACTTTGGAGCCCAATCCTTAGGCACTGATACACAGATTTCAGAAGTCCGTGATCCCTGACAAATATTAGGAAATACACCCAACCACTGTCCATGAAACTCATCGGCATTTATAACTCACTGGTCAGTCCTGAGCCAGGAGAGAGCCCCACGCAGTGGCCCCCAGCATCGTGCACACCTTGGGTTCCCTGGCTCTTCCTTCCTGACAGTATCAGCACGCCCCTGCCCTCCTCCTCCCTGAGTAGCTGAGCCTTGCTCCCGTGTGGAACGCACGGATGTGGAGAACATAAGGATGTGGCAGCATTTGAGCTTCAATGGGAAGTCAGTGGAGGCCCAAGGATTATCCCACTCACCTCAGCTCCACCCTCCACAAGGTTGCAGGTGTGATTCTCCTAAGACACAAGTTTGCCCTTACACTACCACTGCTTCAGGTTAAGCCCCCATGCATTAGTCTGGAATCTTAATGGTAGCAGAAATAATAATTATTATGATGATGATAAAGTTATAGCTAACATGGAGTGAGCATTCAACTTGTGGTGAGCATGCTGCTGCAAGCTGTAATGCAGTTTCTTATTCAGTCCTCACAACACCCCAGGCAGGGAGATAGAAAAGGAGGTGGAACATCAGAAAGGTTAAGTGACTTGTGCACAGTAACAAGACCACAAGTCATTCTGCCAGGCATCAAATTCTGACTTCAGAACTCAACCACTATAGTATTTGGCCTAAACAAATGGTTGTATGAAAAGGAAAAACAAACAAGTGCGGTGAGTACAAAGTGGCTTACACTCCTCATGGGATCAGGACCTAGACCTTCCCCTCACGGCCCTGATCACACTGTATCACAGTTGTCTGACCACTTGGTCCTGTGCTCCTCCAGGTCGGGGGTGGTGTCGATTCTCCTTTACATCACCAGCACCTGCAGGGGCTCTTGGCATCTTGTCGGTGCTCAGTCAATGGCTGACAGGTTAATGGATGGATGAGTATGTGAATGAATCCATGGATCCCAATAAACCCTGGCCTTCTCCAGGAACCTTGCCTGCTTATGAAAGCCCCCAGGGCCACCCCATTTTCCTGAATTCCTCCAGCACCTCTTCCTTGTGTGATAGTTCATTGCACTCTGGCTTGCCACATGCAACACTTCTCTGTGTAAGTTCCTGATGCCTCCCCGAGCGGACCATAAGCATTTCCCAAGTCACTGAGCTCAGGGCTGGGCCAGACCTCTGAATAAGTGCACTGAGTACAGCTGAGCCTTGAACAATGTGGGGGCTGGGGGTGCTGACCCCCAATGCACTCAAAAATTCATGTATGACTTTTGACTTTCCAAAAACTTAACTTAATAGGCCATTGCTGACAGCAGCTTTAAAAATAACATACATAGTTGATTAATATATTTTTAATATTATATGTATTAATATTTTGTTCTTACAATAAAGAAAGCTAGCGAAAAGAAAATGTGTTTAAGAAAATCATGAGGGAGAGAAGATACATTTGCAGGATTTATTGAAAAAAATCCACATATAATTGGACCCACACAGTTCAAATCATTGTTGCTCAAGGATTATCTATAGCTTATGCTGACTTAGGAGCAGAAAACAGAAGGCAAGGCCACCCACTCCGGCAGGAATGACCCTTTGTCCTTTTGTCCCTGTCCCTGCAGGAGCCTCCTCTGGCATCATTGACCTCCTGCCGTCCCCCAGCGCTGCCTCGAACTGGACTGCGGGACTGCTGGTGGACAGCAGCGAGATGATCTTCAAGTTTGACGGCAGGCAGGGTGCCAAGGTCCCTGACGGGATTGTGCCCAAGAACTTGACGGACCAGTTCACCATCACCATGTGGATGAAACACGGCCCCAGCCCCGGCGTGAGAGCCGAGAAGGAAACCATCCTCTGCAACTCAGACAAGACTGGTGAGTCTCGCCCGGCCCTTCGGTGCTGCCTGTGGTGTCCCAGCAGGTTAGGCAGAGACACAGCCACCGAAGATGTGGAAGAAAGGCAGGGACGAGAGAGGGCCCTGGGAAAGGCTTCTGGTCTCTCTGGCTGCTGATTCCTGGGCTCAGGGTAGAGTAGCACCAGGAAAAGGGGGAAAGTAGATGTGCAGACACAAAGAAGGCAAAAGCTGGCTCTGGGATTGGTGGTTTCAACTTCAGAGGCCCACCTCCCAGAAGCAGCTTGGGGCTGCTAGACACGAGATGGGTGGGGTGCACCCTTACTTCAAGCAAAGCAGCGCCATCTTCATTGTATTATATAAAGGGGGGGGGCAAAGGAGATTTCCAGTTGTGAGTACAATAAAACTATTGTAATAATCATAACCTGCATGACTTTTTCCATGAGAGCAACTGTGAACCCTTTTTTGTCCACCCCTGTATAGTAAGACTTCCAAACGTTTATTTCAATAACAGGGCCCTGACAGATTAAATGAGTATTTTTAATGTCCGTGACAGCCATAATAATGGTGGCTCACCTGTGCTGGGCATTTTCAGCATGCCGCTGTGCAAGGCAGTGCACAGCTTGGTGGTTAAAAACTCTCTACCGCTGATTGGCTGCATGATCTTTGACAAGTTATCTAACCCCTCTGTGCCTCACTTTCCTGTCTATAAAATGGGCATTAGAATATTACCTACCTGGCAGGGCTTGGTGAGGATTGAGTGACTTAGTGTATGTTTAGTGCTTTAGAAAGGGCCTGGCATACAGGAGTGCAATCTGTGTTCGCTGTTACTCTCCTCGCCGGTGTCTCACAGCTCCACAAACAAGTTTATAAAAGCATTGCGGTGTTTCCTATTTTTAAGGATCAGGAAACATCCCGGCAGGTTCAGTAACCTGTCCGAAGTTATACAGCCAGTAAGTATCAGAAGTAGAATGTAAGCTTAGAGTCAGCTAATTCTAATCCTGTGCTCTTGTCAGTACGCCCCACATGTGCACGTGCATGTACACACACACACACACACACACACACACACACACTGACATCTTATGCAAAGTTTACAATTCGCGTGTAAACTATAATTTCACAGTTTCCCATTTCAAATACTGCTCTTGTTAAGTTACCCCAAACACATAACCACAGCCACGGGAAGACAGGACAGAGGGATGGCCGGCAGCTCAGCCTCTGCTGACGGACAGCCAGAATTCGTAGGGTGTGACCTTGGAGAAGCTCTAAGCTCTCTGGGCCTGTTTCCCCTGGTCACCTGCTCACTCGCCCCTCATTTGTGGAGCATGTGCCATGTGGAATATTTCTGTGTGGGCTACTCTGTCATAACTGTGAGGTCAAAAGACTCCTCCTCCTATGCAGTGGGTGTTATCTGGTGGCTACAGGGCATCATGGCTGGGACCCATGGCATGAAACTTTCTAAGCAGGAAAGAAAGTTTCTTATCAGAAAAGGGAAAAGTCCCACCCGTTGTCTGTGCACGGAGGAGAGGGGGCTGGAAAGTCACAGGACTCTGTGTGATGTTGGAAAATCAATCTGTCCCCCCGCTGCCAGCAGCTAAAAGTGAGACAGCACCCGCTCCCTCCACAGAGATCAGAGAAGGAGATGTGCCTGGTGGTCCCCTGCAAGCCTGATGAGATAAAAGCCCGGAACTGAGGAGAAACCAGCTAGGTTAAAGGATCCCAGAGTGAATGATGGGCTTGTCAGAGGGCTCCCTTAACTCTCTCAGAAGTGTATGTACCAAAAGTAAATAAATAAAACCTGCTAACCTAAGGAATTTTTATTGGGGTCTGATGCAGTATCTGGGCTTAGGGTAGGTTGATATCTAAAGCCCCAATGACACCTTAGGAGTTTCACTGTGGACTTTCTTGAATCTTCTTCTTGAATTTCAATGAGCTCCACCACGTATGTTCTAGAACATTCCTCAGAACCAATTGTAAAAAAAAGACTGGAATGCCAGTGTCCTTGGAGGTATACTAAGTGATGTGGCCGAAAGACTCCTCTGCTGAGACTGACACTGACACAAGGACCCTCTCCCCCCCAACCCTCGCTCTGTCTGCAGAAATGAACCGGCACCACTACGCCCTATATGTGCACAACTGCCGCCTGGTCTTCCTCCTGCGGAAGGACTTCGACCAGGCCGACACCTTCCGCCCGGCCGAGTTCCACTGGAAGCTGGACCAGGTATGCTCGCACCTGGCCCGTCGCCCCTGCTCATCCCTTTGCAGGGGTGGGTGGTGTGCTCCAGTGAGGATGGCAGTGGGCAGGCACCTCCGGGTGCTGGTCACTTGCTGATACTTGGAAGAATTAGCTCAGGGAGACAAAGAGCATCGTAAAGTCCGGATGGAAACCGCCACCTTAAAGACCAGGCGGAAGTGGGGAGGTTCAGCTAACCTGCGTCTTGTCCTTTTGGTCTGCATTGAGCTCCTGGGAAGCTGGTTCTCTTTCACTTCATCCGAGGCTCACTTTGTGATCGTTGTTAGCGCATCTGTGTGTCGTAAATGCTCTGTTATCTCCCTTGGATGAGGTGCAGCCTTGCTTTAGGTGGCACAGGTTGAGAGCAGGGGCCTGAGGACTTTGAAGTGAGCAGTGACATGGCGCACTGTGAGCAACGCGTGCTCTCGTCTGAAGTGGAAAACTATGACTCACTTCAGAGCCTAATGACTTGTGATCACAAGGACCACTGTGTCACACTTGTCAATGACAAATGAAGTGTCGCGTTTGAATCAAAAGCTGTGAAGTGTCTGTTTCCGACACTTGCAGCACTGAGATTGCGGAGGTGGCACTCACTTCTCTGGGTGGCCATGCCACTGAAGAGGGGACTGTGCAGCAAGCCTAGAGGTGGCCTTCAGTGGGATCTGAAGAGTGACTTTTTAAAAACGGTTTTAAATGACCAAGAGGGCGAGTGGCTAGCAGACAGGGAAGGGGAGTGCAGAATGGGTCTGCTGAGTGAAGCAGGTTGAAGGATGCCCTTCTATGGCCTTACTGCCTAGGGCAGCGATGGCGAACCTTTTGAGCTCGGCGTGTCAGCATTTTGAAAAACCCTAACTTAACTCTGGTGCCGTGTCACATATAGAAATTTGTTGATATTTGCAACCATAGTAAAATAAAGACTTATATTTTTGATATTTATTTTATATATTTAAATGCCATTTAACAAAGAAAAATCAACCAAAAGAATGAGTTTGCGTGTCACCTCTGACGCGTGTCATAAGTTCGCCATCGCTGCTCTAGGGCCTCAGCAACTCCTTTTGCTTCTTTTTCTGCCCCCTTCCCCCCTCCCCCCATATCCTGAGTGCCTCTGGGGACCTCAGTCTTCTTTTCTCCCTCCAAAACCACTGTGTTCCTACCTCACCTTGTCTAGGGCTGAATGTTCCATAATCCTTTCCCCACCCTCTCCGGGTACTACCTAAGCTCCCAGGCCCCCAGTGGAGCTGACCTCAAGAGTGTTCCTGGGCAGCGTTCCAGGAGGAATCCATTTACACTGAGATGAGAATGACGGCTGCCCCCTGGTATCCACACAGAAGCACAGGCCTACACGCTTTCATAGAGAGATTCATTAACCCCAGGCAGCCTCTCCGTGGTGGAACATCAGACAGTGCGTTAAGGTCGGAGAGGCCAAGCTTAGGGA